TTCATATTCACAAACCTAGCGATTCCTGGGTAGAAACCTGGTTTTTTTTTGGAAAACCTCTCACTCGGACTGTGCTCACTGATACAGCACGATGCTATGATCAACGATACATCAAACATGGGAGAATAATTGGTGAAAGTTTCAACTCAATTGGATCAAAATTCTTTGTAGCGTTTACAAAATACGACATGACCGTTTTTTCGACCCACATTGGGCCCAGTAATCATATCTTTTCTATTGAAAATCTGATTCAAGCCAAACCAATTTTTGATACAGTAAAGTTCATGGATCAACAATTCATTCTGCATAGTTTTTCCCTTCAAACTACTTTGATAAGTTGATCAAAAGAGTGGCTTCCGTAAAATTACCGATTTATGACCAATTTTTTTGTCGATGAGTTTTTCCAGGGTTCGAGTTGTTTTTTGAAAATTTGGTTTTAAGGTAAGATAGACTAACCATAGATGTATTCATTCCAATATTTAAATTTTGGAAAATGGAACTTGAGGTCATGTCCGCCTGGTTGCCCACTGTGCCACACCCTCACCCACACCCACACCCACACCCTCCGATTGGCTGTTCACATGATAACTTTTGACAACAGAGTCAGATTGCAATGAAACTTTCTACAAAGCTTAGTCTTGACAATATCTCGGTCGAGTTCGAAGATGAGAAGGATCGACCGAGCCGTTCCTGAGTTATTTCAAAAATACCCATTTTTCCCTATAGCTTCCTGTGGAAAAATCGACCTATCGCCACTTTCGTAAACGACTTCCTATCATAGTCAATTAAAGTCCTAACTATTATATACCATTCGATAGAGAATTTCAAGAGCTACAAACTGATATATAAAACATAAAGAAACAAGAGGAATGATTTACATATGAGAAGAATAATTAAAGAAAACTAAGTTATATTTTGGTCCACGATCTAATTGATTCTTAAATAGAACTCTATCTTCCAATCACAGTGATGATACTTCGAGGTTTTCAGAGATGGAGAATTCGAATGTGTACTGCACTTCCATCGAAATACTATTGGTTGTGCAGTGACCAATAGAAATCAAGTTATAGAGAAAACGACTTTGTTAGGGTAAATCAAGGGAAAGAGTTCAAACTTGAGCTGTATTCGGTCCCAACACCTATTGATTTGGCAACCCTCAATAGAAATCAACATTTTAAATGGTAGGTTCCGCAGTATAGTTTTGATGTTGAGACATTCTAGGATGATTGATTTGTATGATTCACTTTTTGAAGTACACATAACTCTCGGATTCAAATCCGAAGGTTCCGCATTTATTATGCATAAGAAAGAGATATTCATACTTTATTTTTTGAACTATCATTTCTAGTAGTCATACCCAATCTTCCTGAAAATGCTCGGTGGATAGATAGTGGAGTGACTGTCGCTGGAGGTAACGGGTCTGGAAGTAGCAGCAGTCGATTTGACGAGCCTTACGGTTTCTACGTTGATGATGACCAAACACTGTACATTGCTGACTACGGAAATCATCGTGTCATGCAATGGAAGAAGGGTAGTCAGTATGGAAGAGTAGTTGCTGGTGGCAATGGCAAAGGAAGTCGTCCGGATCAATTATATAATCCAACTGATGTAGTGTTTGACAAAGAGACAAACAGTGTCATTATTTGTGATCGAACGAATGAACGAATCCAACAATGGTCTCTTCTTAGTGACACAACACAAGGAGAAACTCTTATCAGCAATATTGATTGTTGGGGTCTAGCTATGGATAATCAGCGATATCTCTACGTCTCTGTTCACATGCCATCGCAAGTTAGACGATATCGAATTGGTGAAACGAATGGTACTATTGTAGCTGGTGGTGGCACGCGGGGTTCTAATCTTGATCAACTCGCTTGGCCGTATTATCTCTTTGTCGATCAAGCGCTGAATGTTTACGTATCAGACGGTGGAAATCATCGTGTAGTGAAATGGAGTCAAGGTGCAAAGGCAGGAATTGTCGTTGCGGGTGGCTATGAGTCTGGAAATGCTTTGATACAATTGTCAGGCCCTAGAGGAATCGCCATCGATACATTGGATAATCTCTATGTATCGGACTCTGACAATCATCGAATAATGCGTTGGTTTAAAGGAGCAAAAAAAAGCGCTATAGTTTTGGGTGGAAATGATTTTGGAGTCTCACCGAGGCAGTTATACAGACCTCAGGATATATCTTTCGATCGACGCGGCAATCTTTATGTAGTTGATAGACAAAATCACCGCATTCAACAATTTACTCTCCAACAGAATCAGGATAATCAGACGAATTTTCTTTTTCGTTCTTTCAAATAAATAAAATTGATTGAAGAGGGATTTAGTTTTCCATTTCCTTTTCATATTCATGCGTGTGTGAACAAGAATCGTCCAGATGAAATTTTAACGAGTCTGAGACTCGCGAACGTTCAAGCACAGACATTCTCGTTGTACTTCTTAATAATTTCCGATGAGTTTTCTAAAAAAACTAGTTTTTATGTCAGAGACAACAATATGATTGATGATTGAACTTTTAGAAAGCGTTTCAAAGTCGAGCAAGATAGCATGTAACTTAGCTGCTTTCATTCGTTTTCGTTTCTCTTTTTTGTAACGCAATGAGGTTTTTCTAGTACATACCGATTTTTTGAAAAAATAACAATTTTTGTAGGAACCCTACATTGTTTCTGATAAGACGGGCAGGTTGTAAACGTTTAATGAATTTTTTTGTGTAAAGTGGGAAACGTTGCGGAGAGTTTAAAGAATTCTGTAAGGTAAGAAATAGTTCTAAATGTTTAAGATGATTCTGTTGTCGTATTGTTTCTTTATATTCTGAACCTTTTTGGTGTAGGGTGTGGGTGTGAATGTGCATTTACCTGATGAGTTTCCCAGACCCATATACGCACACGCATAGCCCGACCCGTTTATATCCACACCCAATGCAACACTCACCTACACCCTACGGCCACATCCAAAGAATATAGTTTTTGTATCAATATTGGAGAAGTCAACACTTAAGATATTTATGTTCACCTATATCCGCTGAAATATTAGTTACCTAAATTTAAGAAACTTAGGATAAAATCAACTGTTCTAGAAAGGTTCGGAATATAAAGAAGGAATACTGCATGGAACTATCATGAAGATTTAGAACTATTTCTTGCCTAACTGAATTCTTTAAACTATCCAAAACGTTAACAACTTTACCCAACAGATTCATAAAACCTTTAAAACGTGACCATGTTATCTAAACGAATATAGGATCTCTTGTGACATTTTTATTGTTTCGGAAATAGGTATAGTTGGATGGAAAAGTGTCGAAGCAAAAAAGAAATGAGAAAAAACTATCAAAGTAATTTTGTCCAAATAAAAAAAATATCGAAAATTTCAAGGTGAGCTCATCAAACAATATTGATTGTCTTTCATACAAAATTTTCTTTGTAACTCTCAGGATTAGCAAATATATCTATTCGGCATATGCTGTTGTCAGTGAGCATTCTAGAACACGTAAAATATATTTAAGAAAACTTATTTTAACAACAAACACAGCTTTAGTATGGTTTTCTATTCCCATACATATGCCACTTGATTGCAGGAATATAAATACAATCCAAAACTTTCATCATTACTATATTTGGTTGATAATGACTCAACATTTCAGTATTCGAGTCAATAGAGGTGCTTCATGTTGACCTAACCTAACTTTAATTGATGTCATTTAAGCATGAATTCATATGTTAAATGAACGATACAACAACCAAGAAATCAACATCCAGAACTTATTAAATATTTTATAATTTTGTGGAACTCACGTATGCTTTCGAAGAAAATAGTGAGTGTAAGTTTTAAGTCGAGGTTTCGTGGCTTCCCCCCCCCCCCCCCCCCCACCTCATTACAGACACATAGTAACGGGAAACAGAACATTACAGACATACCCCCCATTACAGACAACCACCCATTACAGACATACTCCCCATTACAGACACCCCATTACAGACCTCAGCGACCGGGCATAAAAAACTTCAACTTCATTTAACAATAAAAAGAGAGTTGAACAGTATAAAGAATACGAGTTTGACTGTCATACAATATTTCAATGTTTTCATAAAAAATGGAAAAAAATTAATATCAATTTGTTAGAGTTCCTAATAATGTAATCACTGGTTATTTTTCAAAAATTAAAATGTGCACGTAAAAAATCAACAATAAACCATAATAATAGGTATTGATCTATCATACCGATTGTATAATCGATGTGACAAACACGATCCAACCTTTTTGTCAACGTCAGACGTATACCATATCACCATTATATGGATGAAATAATTAATAATGATGAAAAAAAAGTAATTTCAAATGAAAAAAATTGATTATTATTGAGTGTATAGTAAGAATAATAAAAAAAAGATCGGGCTCGCTTCAACGAAAAAGAGAGTTGCAATTTTAAATGTAGAAATTAAATGATCAACTATTTTTCTTGTCAGCAATTATTTACAAAAAAAAACCTATAGTCGATAAAAAAGTCTTCAGTTTACAGATGACGTATTAAAATAACAAGTTTGAAGGATATACGTGAGTTTCACATTTTACCTCCAAAGCAGCTGCGCTGACAAGCTTTTTTTCTAACGAAGAAAATCAAGTGTTGTATTAAAACTCTTGTCAAACTTAATTTCTTTTCACGATTAATCTTAATTATTTACGCATATCTATTTTGCCGTGTTGAATAAAATATATTTCTCATTCTTCCGATGCAGAGCAAAGAAACTCGTTGTTCCACATTTCTTCCAAATCCCATTTTATATTTCGACATTGTTTTCCCACTTCTTTTCCGTCGATATTTTTTTCGACATATGTCTCTTCGGACTCAATCAAACACACTGCCGATAGGCATTAAAAAACCTCACCGCGTT